GAGCTTGTTGATAGACTTGATATGTGCTTGTGGTGTTGACTCACTTAAGTGACTACAGAGGATCGCTTGAGGGAGCAAAGGGATGCTCTGGACAATACTTCATTCTTGCTTTGAGCAAAAGGTCCCAATTCTTTTCAACTACTTTTGGTCTTACCTCGCTCAAGCGACCAAAATGGTCTTGCTTAAGTGAGAATTGATAGGTTTAGTTCCTTTACTCTAGGTCTTTAACTAGCTTCATCTTTTTCCTTTCTTTTTCTGTTTCTAAGACACATTAACAAAAAATCAAAAATACCTAAAACTTAAATAATAAACAAAACTAATTTTTAATATTTATTTTTGACAAAATAAGGTTATAAAACATAACATATACTCAATAATTGCATAAATTAAGTAAAATATATTCACATATTTAGCAATTATCAAATATATATTCATTGAGTGATTAGAAAGTGGGAAAAAGAGTTTGTCCAAAGAAACAAAAAAGCTAAGGGAAGAAGCTTATTCAGGGAACTAGTGATTTTGGAGTTTATAAACACAACTAAGTAAATTATAAGTATTTTTTAGTTGTTAAGTTATGAATTTAACCTTGTAAATGCTTGTAAAAAAATACGTAGGTATTGAAGCATGAAAAGACTTGGAGATAGAATAGTGATTGAACCTAAAATTAAGAAATAGTACTTGTCATGGAGAACAATCTTTAGAGGCTTGAGAAAAATACTAGTTGCCAAAGCAACTTGTAAAACTTAAGAAAAATACTGGTGTGAAGGCTTGTAGAGGCTTGAGGAGAAATAATATATATGTAAGTTAGTGTGCTTGTGAGAGTATGGATTAAATATAGCTCGTAAATAATGAACTAATAAAAATCTTTATGTACAATATTTCCTCTTATTTATTCCTCATTTATATTTCATTAATTAGGTACTTGGCACCCATAATCTATTTTTTGATCTTATAAACTAATAAATCCTAAGCTAAATTGAGTTTTTACCTAAAACTTATTTCAATTAAGTGATTTAATCAATCTAAAAAATTACATGTCAAATCATGTTCTTGTATTAAAGAAGCAACTTTACGTTGAGTTGTATTAGAAAATCTACTTATGGTATTTGAAATATTTTATAAACAACAATATCAAATTAGCTTTTCATCACATTAGATTGTTACTTACTATTCCTTATTTTTTTATTAAATTGTGAATAGACATTTCCTTACTTTTAACCAACTTTTAATTACCAAGAAATGCTTGAAATGACTCTTTTACTTGTGTAGAAAAATAAATAAAAAATGAATGTTCGTTATTCAGTTTCTTTTTAAAGATTCTCTTATCCATTTTAGAAATTGGGATAGAAATAGAATAAGATAAATTTTCTCTCTCATTTTTCCTCTCTTACACCATCCCTATCTCATTGTTAATGTTGTAATTACTATTGTTATTGTCACCATCACTATTATCATTATCTTTATCGTTGTCATCACTATACCACTTCCATTACCATCATTGCCATTTCCTTTATCATCAACATTGCTAACATAATTATCACCACCATTATCATCATTGTCACTTTCACTTTGTTGTAACTTCCCCATCATGTGATAATGTCGGTGATCACGTACTTGACAACAACAATGATTTTAAGTGGTTTAAAATCAATCTTCTACTTTTATTCTTTTTAGTAATCATTGTATTGATACGAAATATTTATTGTTAGAAGTAATGCCTAATCTTAGCCTGTAACAATGAGCTCACACAAGATGAGTATTCCTCTTTTAACATACTCTATTCTATATCTAAAGTTATAATTCAAATCTAGACAACTTGATTAAAAGACACAAACCTTCTACTTTTATTTAAGAGTTAAAATAGATCATTTTTGTTTTCACCCAAAAAAATTATTCTCCTACATTGTATTAAATTAAGATATTAAAATAAATAATTATCATTCAAACATTTTTAAGAAAATATTTAAATAATAATTATAGTTTTTAAACACATATTTTCTATAATTTTAAGCAAAGTAACTACATAAAGAAAAAATAGTTTTGTATAATTAAAAGTTGAAATTTTATATTTTTATAATATTTGATAGTTTTCAAAATTAAAAATTAAATCGAAACTACTTTTTAGATCAAATTCCTTATTACTTCATTAAAAAAAAATAAAATCCTGATCACATGTTTAAGGAGGTGTCTCAATAAATGTAGCATTAAACACCTTAGTCTTAAATAATATAAAAAAGTCAGCATTAATTCTTAAAATTCATAAATATAGGATATATTGATTTTTTAAGAAAAGAATTTTTTTAACATTTTCAAAGGTTAATATATCTACTTTTAAATTTTTTAAAAAATAATTTATTTATTTATTTATTTTTATGTAATAAAGGAATCATTAGGTGAACAAAACTATTGTTGTAAGTCTCTTTTTAAAAATAGAATTTACATTAATATTTTTATAATTTTTTAAAGCTCATAATTTAAAAAATATATATATTTTTATTTTTAAAAGTTTACTTAAAAAAATAGCTTTAAATTATATATAAATATATACATTTTTTCCAATACTCATCTCTAAAATATATATATATTTTCACATTAGTTATTTGTGAAAAAGATAAATAGGTAGCAGGAGGAAAGACTCTAGACAAGTTGAGACTTGCAATTTACAAAGCACACCAGTGGTATAGGTTTTTTTTTTTTTAAATTAAAATTTTGTGTTAAGATTAAACGAAAAATAGTTGCATAGGAAGGCGTTAATGCAAACGACGCCGTTGGAGCCGATGATAATTTGCAACGCAGGGCAAGGGGTAATTCGGGGAATAAAGGAATGAGCCTCCGCAAAATGAACACGCGCACACACAAACTCGGCTTTGGTTTTGTTTGGTTAGTTTCTGGTGTGATTACATTGTGCCGTATAAAAGATACAATCTAAAACATAACCCAAACCCAAACCCGAAGCCGAACTAAAACCTCTCTACAACTCACTGCAGCTATTCTTCTCAAACAACAGTTTCCTTAGCAGTACTCTCTCTCTCTCTCTGTCACCGCTCTGCGAATCCTCGTTGCTTCGTTCTCTGTATTTTCACCCGCATTCTTTCTTCCTACTGCTATCTATGTATGTATGTGCCGCTTCATGGAATCTCAATTGAATTTTTACTTCAGATTTTCGTTTTCTTTTTTTAATTTTTTTAATTTTGAATGTCTGCACTTTTTCTTTTGGCTTGCTTACTTTGTTCTATTTGTCTTTTCTAATATGTGGCAATTGGTTGGGGTTTCTATCGATTGGGATTATTATATGATTTTTATTTTGATTGCTTTTTACATGTGTTTATAAGTTTTGTTTCTTGTTTAATTAATCATTGAAGAAAGGAGGGTTGTTTGGAGTTTATGTACTTTTTTTTTTCTTTTGGGTTGTGAAAAGATAATTGTTGCAGAATTCGTGGATAATGGAAGTATGGAACGGTTTGGTTGGATTTTGGAATATACAATCCCGTGGAGCTTGTGAAAATCCCTAATGAAACTCTTATTTTATTTTGGTTATTGTTTGTTAAATTTTGAATTTGAGTTCTAACCTTATGGCCATAACAATGACACTCTTACTTGTGAGTGACTGAATGTGTGGCCCTAAACACTAAACACTCTCGTGCTTGTTGATGTGGCCTAATTCATGTGTGTATGTGACTATAAACCCTAAATACTGCTACATCTCTCTATATGTATGTTTGTATATATGTATTAATGTGTCCATATTCATGTGGCTGTATGTGTTAATGTGGTCATAGCAAGAACAACACTCCTACATGTGTGTCTTGCATTTCTTTTTACATAATTGTTGTCATGAGTGAACTTTAAGCAACTTGTTGTGCTTAATTGGAAGATTAGGGACACATCTGGAGTTGGTCAATCTTATATGTCTGAGGACTGGCTGTGTTTACTTGTATGTTTTACATCTATTTTTCCCTTTATGTGCTTTGATGTCATTGATATCGGCAAATGTGTGCATGTTTTCCACGTGTATATTCATGCTTGTGATTTTATGTCATTAATATTAGAAAGCATGTGTGAGTCTGTTGCATATGTGCCCGCGTGTGCTGGTGTTCAGTTCTCTGTATGCATGCATATCTGTACATTTTTTTTATCTGATTGCATATAAATGGCAATAGCAGCTTTCAGTTTATCTGGGCATTACATCTCTGCATTTTTTTTTTAACATTTCAAGTTTATAATTAAAACAAGAATAATCAGCCAATGGATTAGGCATTAAAACTTTTGATCTTGTCAAGGATAGTTTGTGTTTTTCCTAGTCTCATACTTTGGTTACCTAGACTTTTCAGTATTTTGTGTAGTCTCATAGCTTTGATTGCCTTGACTTTTTCTGTTGCATATCTTTATATGCTTATCTGGTTAGCTTTCTTTGTTAATTTTACTATGACATCCACTTTTATTTTATTATTATTTTTTTTATTGCAAACCAAAAAATTTCCTAATTTCAATTCAGTTGTGTCAAGGTTTTAAATTGCAGTTTGCAAGCTTAGTATAATGCTTTCGGAGATCTCCACAAATGCAATTGTGGCCACATCAATCACAATGCAGATGCAACTGTGACAGCAGCTGCAATTTAAAACCTTGAATTCTATATTTGTAGTGTTAATCTATTAATGCCCTAAGTGTTTATGTCTTTTTAAACATAACATCTATGGGCTCTAATCTTTTGGTTTATTTATTTGCATAATTCTAAAATTCAGTTTGGTTTGCCTAAGGCCATGACAGTTATGCCTGGTATTCTTTGGTCATCATTTGTATTCTTGGAGACAAAGTGCATTTGTCTATGAAGTGAGGGGCAACATAAATAAATTATTTACCTAGACTTTTCAGTATTTTGTGTAGTCTCATAGCTTTGATTGCCTTGACTTTTTCTGTTGCATATCTTTATATGCTTATCTGGTTAGCTTTCTTTGTTAATTTTACTATGACATCCACTTTTTTTTTTTTTCTTATTGCAGACCAAAAAATTTCCTAATTTCAATTCAGTTGTGTCAAGGTTTAAAATTGCAGTTTGCAAGCTTAGTATAATGCTTTCGGAGATCTCCACAACTGCAATTGTGGCCACATCAATCACAATGCAGATGCAACTGTGACAGCAGCTGCAATTTAAAACCTTGAATTCTATATTTGTAGTGTTAATCTATTAATGCCCTAAGTGTTTATGTCTTTTTAAACATAACATCTATGGGCTCTAATCTTTTGGTTTATTTATTTGCATAATTCTAAAATTCAGTTTGGTTTGCCTAAGGCCATGACAGTTATGCCTGGTATTCTTTGGTCATCATTTGTATTCTTGGAGACAAAGTGCATTTGTCTATGAAGTGAGGGGCAACAAAATAAATTATTTACTGTTGTAAGTACTTATAAGTCTGCCTTGATGTATAGGAAACCTAGAGTATGACACTGGTTCAATGATGAAAATATTTTCCCATATTTTATCTTTTTAACAAAAGATCTAAATTGAATGTTCAACTAAGAACAAGAATTTGGATTTCTTGGCTTTGAATGTGCGTAGACTCTGTATATATTGTTATGGCCATATCACAATTACCAATTTGCTTAATCACTCTGAATTGGGGTCTGGGGCACACTTTTTAGTTTGAAGTGTGTTTTATTTCAATTTGTCGAGGAACATGTATTGAGGCACAATGATTGGTTGAGGCGTTGACGCCCCAGCAGCACAAATTTGGGTGTTTTCATTCTAGCTCTAAAATAATAGAGCCCCTATTGTCTGCAATAAGAATATGTGAGGGAAAGGGGGGGAGGGGGGAATTTCAGATATATGAATCTTTGGTGGATGATTGCATGGTTGTTTTGTTATTCTCTGTGGTGAAGTTACTGGTTACAGGGCTGTTGAAATATATTTTTGGTGGTGATTGGAGCTAAAATTGATTATATATACACACACACACACACATATATATAATTAAAATCTTGAAAGACATTATTCTATATCCATGTAACATGCATATATCATCATTGGATTTTTAATAAAATGTAACAAATACATGTGTATTTTGCTGTTATTTTTATGGAAAAAAAAATTGCAGTATACCAATGAATATATTAAAGTGTACCACTAGCCTAAATATCAACCAGTATACACCTCATGTAGCACATAATATTTAAGAAAGTGATGGGCCATACACCATACACCACAGGCATTGGATGTATATGATTATCATACATTTGTTAGTAGTTTGTCACTATTTCAATTTTCAAGTGCATTTAGCTGTGATACTTTGTTATGGAGGATTACTTCATCTAATTTGCTTAATATATGTGTTTTTTTGCAACATCTGATGTGTATACATATTTATCAATAAAAAAGCTGTATCTTTTATATATTGTATGTTAATTTGTTTGTTGGGTTTGATTCTATCCTAATCTTGGTGTTCCCTATGTCTACTTACTTGAAGGTTTTCATCAAAGTTGGAATTCTAGTTGATTAGTTGTCCCAACTCTAATTGGAAAGATGGGTAGCACATTTAATCCACAGATTTTAGTGGAAAAACTAGCCAAGCTGAATGTTTCACAAACGAGCATAGAGAGTATCCTTCAAGATCATTTTATGGGCAAGTGTTGTTCAAGCACTTGTTTTTATTTTCACTTTATATAGTTTGTTCAATCATTCTCTAATAAAGAACACAATATAACTGTTATTTCCTTCTTTACCATATGATGGCTGACAATAATCTTGGTACAAAAATTCATTGACATATGTGGTTGGACTCTGGCACACACACTCTTGTACACATTCATGTGATTTCTTTGAGTTCTTTTTGAATTTGTTGCATATAAATATTTGCTGCTGCTCAGATCTAATCCTTAATGCGGTTAAGCTTTGTCACATTGGTGCATTTTTCATATGAACAAAGCCAAACAAGTTGTTGAAACGTGGGATAGACAATTTCACAGTTCTCCTCGTGAGAAGAAGTTGGCATTTCTGTATCTTGCAAACGATATTTTACAGAACAGCAGGCGAAAGGGTTCTGAATTTGTTGGTGAATTTTGGAAGGTTCTTCCAGATGCTCTTCGAGATGTGATTCAAAATGGAGATGATTTTGCGAAGAATGCAGCACATCGTCTGGTACTTTAATAATTCATTCGTGTTTTGACTCTTTCTTTTTACATAAAACATATTAACTTAAGCACTAGTAATTTTGTTTTTAGTTATAGTTAAAAAAATATTCTTAGATCTTTTGATTTAAAAGAAAGATGAATGACTTTGATTATTGTTTATCTTAGCATTTATTACATGCTCACTCTATTATTGGGGGAATGCAATGTGTCCGTTCTGTGATAAGTAATACATTTTATTTTGTTTATAAATAAGAATTGAGTGACAAAGGGAAGAAAGTGGAAAAATGTAAAAGTTTAGTGTTTAATAGGTTGGGTTCAAGATACACTAATATGGTTCTCTCTATAAAGGTTATAAACTATAAAGTTTAGGAACATATCCTGGTTGTGGTTTTTGTTGGCTGTTGTGTTGTATCAAATTCTCCTTGTGCTTGTGTTTGGAATTGCAGCAAGCTAGATTCAGTTGTAATTGAATTCTGAATTTAAAAAGTTTTGTTAGATATATTCTGTTTGGGAGTTCTCCAGATCTTGCTTTCCATAGATATGCCTATGTTAATACGATTCTTTTAACAGTATAACCAAATAATATATTTCTTTTCCCTTCAACGGCAAAATTTGTCAAAAGAATTATTAGTCTTTTGTTTACTCTGGTGCATGATCTTGGTTTTCATAGATATGCCTATGTTAGTCAGCAACAGGCTGGAGAGTCCACCCCCAATATTACAATATGCGTGCGTGCACACACACACACACATATATATATGTATGTATGTATGTATGTATGCATATGTGCGCATGCGCATACACTTGCACTAAAAAATAAAGAAAAAACATCCAAAGCTAAAACATATTTTGATTAAAACTAAAGTTTGATAACCAAAATAGCAAACAAACAGACATGTCAAATGGTCAATTACAATAAAGAATCAATTCAAACAAGTTTAAGCCTGTAAGGCTAGATCATGTAAACTTTGAAAACATATTCAAATGTCATCATGTATGATTGCAAGCAATGTTGCCAAGATTGTTTGCTAAATCATTAAGATCAGACAGAAATTGTGGGATTAAGCAATTTTTACGATCTTTCAAGTTGAGTTTTCTAGGTTGGGTTACATTACTTGGTTTCCCTCAAAACTCAAATGTGTTTTTACTTGTTTTTTGTGCTAAATCAGTATGTTGTCTCATTATTAGACTTATGAACCTTACACAGCCCAGTCCATTCTCCTTCCCTCTTCGAATCTCTCATTCTCTTTTGGTCTCTCTTGTGTCTCTCAATTCTAATTTCTTAAGTTGTTGGTTGTGGCTATGTTCAAACTTCTTGTGACCGCGAGTGCTTTATTTGTCTTGCACTCTGTAATTTTTGAACCAATTTTATAAATTTGTGCAGTTTCACGATTTAGCAAGAGATCTCGACAACAGTGGTAAAGATGACGATATTTTTGTGACAATGTGTAATCTATGCTACACATAGGTGCACCTATATTTGGTTGAAGTACACTTATTTTTAATGAGGTTTTTTGATTACTTGAATTGTGATAAGATTAGGCATTTGACATTTATTCGGTTGAAATCACATGGTTGTATAAATTGGTTATCACTAATAGGTATGCAGAGGAGAGCTAAGTTCCATTGGCTTTGTTCTTTTGTTTGAACTTTAAAATAGGATTGACCAAATTACTTTTGGTCCCTTATTTAATTGGTTCAATTTGGTTCCTTAATAATTTTTGAAAACAATACATGTGGTCATTTCTGTCCAATTGAGACTAACGACTTTAATTCCTTGTACATGTGACAATAAAAAAAATGAAATGTATTGTCACGTGAGAAAAAATTAACACCGTTAGTCTAAGTTGGACAAAAGCGATTACACTGCATCATTTTTTAAAATTAAGGGAATAAATTGAGCTTTTAAATAACAGAGGGATCAAAATTGAACTAATTAAATAAAATGAGACCAAAAGAGTAATTTTTGTATTGTTATGTAATATGTATTGTTTATATGGTTATGGATTGATATTCAGCCATTCTGGGATTGATTTTAATTTTGACAAGGTTTTTAGCCAATTTAAAATTGAAAAGTTCTATTAGATGCTTGAACTACACCTTTACAATATTTCTTGACAATAAAAATGATCTACTTGATCTCTGCTTCTTTTGTATTAAATTATTTAAAATAATGAGGTATTGAATGCAGTAACCATATGCTGTCCAGAATAATTACTTTTGATTGTCATTATTTTGTTATTTAATGTTATTGTGGGCCTTGGCAAGCGTATTTGGATGACTGTCTTACATCACAGCCAAGGTTTGGGTTTTTGAAGCTGTTAATTTTCCCCTTCTAGCTCCTTCCACCCTCCCCCTTCCCTGCCCTGGTATTGTAACTGTTCAATAATAATAATAATAATAATTTCTCTCTTATTCTGGCATGAAGAGTTTATTCTGTATTGTGACAATATAAATGTTTCTCTTTTTGCAAAATGGAGATGATAGTTGAGTTTGCTAAATTCATGGTAGTTATTTTAAATTACTTGATTGCAATATTGTGCTCCTTGATTTAACTTCCCATGTCATTATTTACTAGTTCTAAGGTTCAGTGTTGCTTTTATGATGAAATGTCATTTGGCCAGAGGATTCTCGAAATATGGCATGCCCCCATCTCCTATAATTTATCAATAAGAAATTATGTAATTTTGTTTTTTTTTTTCTTCATGTTTTTCTTTAGTTCAAATGTCCAAGATAAATTAAAGAATGTGGAACATTGACATAGGCGAAATTTCTTTCCATGCATCATGAATTTTTCCTTTATGCAGATTGGTATATGGGAAGACAGAAAGGTTTTTGGTTCTCGCGGTCAAATTCTAAAGGAAGAGTTTGTTGGGAGGCATGCAGATAATAGTAGCCGAGATGTGAAACCTACAAACGTGAAATTGGTAATAGTTTCCACATTGATTTAGCTGATTTGGTGCACCTACTGTCTTTGTTAATATACAACATTTCCTGATTGTATTTCCTATGCTTTATTCTTACCTATTGCAGAGGCCATCTGCGGGGAATGCATTGGAGAAAATAGTTTCAGGTTTTCATGTTGTTTATGGAGTGCAAGCAGATGAAGATGCGATATTGAGCAAATGTAGGAATGCCATTAACTGTCTTGATAAAGCAGATAAGGATATAGGTCATGATGGTAATTCAGGTATGTCAAATTATCAGTTACTTATAAATTGTTTGCCTATTTAATTTAATTGTTAGTCTGTGACTCAGGCTTGAGTGATTTCTCTTTATTAGTGTATGTATATTGTATCTGTGTGTCCAGTATCAGCTGTATTAGATAATCTGACAGTTGTTACTTGTTGAATATTTGGTTGGTTACAACTGTAAGTGAAGTGAATACAGCTGTTATTGCAACTAATTCTGATGAATAGACTCAGTTTCTTTTACATTCATTTTCTCTGTGCCCTGAACTCTGACAGTCTTGGCATGAGTAGTTCATTGCTGATTTTTTCCCAATTTTTTTTCTCGACTATTTTATCTGCATTATCTTAATGTCAAAAGGATGATTGGTGTTTTTGTTTTAACTGACTTAGTCGACTCATCTTCGGCACAAAATGCTAATCAGGGTCAATTCATAAAATAATGAAGATAAAAATTTGGAACGATGATTTTCTAAACCCTAATTAGTGGTAGCTTCCATGACTTCTATCATCTCTTCCTATGATGGCGCTACTCTAGATTTTTCATGAATATATTTACAATAAGAAGCTTCCTAAGGGTGCATTTGGATAAATTTTGAAAATCGTGCTTTTATTATATACCCTTTCTCTAGAGTTGAAGTTACAAGAGGAGTGTTGGAATTACTTTTTTGGGGGAGGGGTGGGTTACTTTATTTTTTGAAAAAGGTATCCAATAATCTTAACAATTAAAGACATTCAGTTTTTTCAAAATTTAAAAAACACTTTTTTCTTCAGATGCACAATCGAAAAAGCCCTTTATAGATGTTTGAAGAAAAAAAAAGGGCAAGACATAGCCATAAATAGCTATTATGTTGCAATCTTATTGTATGGGATGTTTCTTATCCATGTAGTGTCAATTGAAGTCTAATTATTTTCCATAATTAACTTAAATTACCTAAAATAACTAAATAATGTATAAAAGTTAAAACAAGGATGCCTTGTCCTAATAAGTAGGGCCAGCTACATTAATGAATTTGACACCATTGGGTTCTATCAAAAAGCATAAAAGTTACGAACCTTTCTCCTCCATTATTTTGTTGTTGGTGATTGATTGCATTAGCTCAAAGCAATATCATTTAAACTTGCTTTTAAATCATGAATTCATCTCATGCATTGTGTATATGTTGCCATGTTAGGTAAATAATATATAGTATTTTCTAGTTAATGTGTTTAATTAAGCTTTAATGGTTGTTAATTGAATCTTTTTGGATATCCTTTGCTATTTAATCATCAATGAGTAGGTCAATTCAGTGGATCTGCCGTAGTGGATGAGCTCCGGGGGCATAATGCTGTATTGAAGGACTGCATCGAGCAATTAACAGCCATAGAGGCATCCAGAGCTAGTCTTGTGTCTCACTTGAGAGAAGCTCTTGAGGATCAGGTTCTTTTGACTTAATCTTTAGTTTACCAAATAGATGAAACCTATAATATATACTTCTGACATGCTTTTGTTCACAGGAATTCAAGCTGGGTCAAGTCCGTAACCAGATTCAGGTATGGAACATATCCAAATTCAATGAGTAGTAATGTAGTTTGTCATTCTACTTATATGGACATATAAGTTGGCAAAGATTCACCACTGTTCTTTAGCCAAATGCATGCACAAAAAATTGCACCTCATCTTTATGAAAATCAATTAGTAATGTAGTTTGTCATTCTATGTATATGGACATATACGTTGGCAAAGATTCACCACTGTTCTTTCTTGTTTAAAGTTTGGTCTAACCTAATCTGTTTAATAAAAGGTCAAGTTTGGGCTTTTAAATTTTTTATTTTTATTTTAAAAAGTTGGGCTTAAATTAAAAAAAAAAGATGTTAAGCCTTATAGTCCAACCTATTTATTTATATAATATAATATAATGTTTAATTCACTTATTACACTATCAATAATATAATTAATTGAATAAATTTATAATACAAAATTTGAATTATTAATATTATTAATAATTTAATATATGCATTAGTAGCCCAATGTTCTTTCAATATATTGTATCTTTAGTTTTTTATTTTTATAATTCTTTTAGAACTAAATTTTAGTAGTAAATAACTTTTTTTACCATCCAAATTAAAAAAATTAAAAAATCATTTACCTATTTAAAATTAACTATGTTGTCTTATTTAACCACATTAATATAAAATGAGCTTTTAAACAGGTTAATATGTTTTAAGAAGTCAAGTTAGACCTATAAAAAACCTATGCTAGATCATATGCCAAACTTATACCTTAATTTTATAGAATTAACCAGACTTATATATTTAAAACTGATAAATGGCTCCTAACCTCCAATGGGTAATTTAGAACTTGGTCCTAGGAACCGATAAATGTGGCATCCTTGATAAAGTAGTAGAATTTTATTGTAATGCATTTGAAATCAATATTACATAACCTTTTCTTTATTATGCTTGCATTGAAACAAGCAACTGAATATTAATTGGTTTTGCTCAATGGGCACGCTTGTCTTGCATCCTTTTTCCTGTCTCCTTCAAAAGATCAGTACATATTTCATTTGAGAGATAAAGATGCCTTTTCTAGAATAGGCAACCTTTTATTTGTAGGAAATACTTCAGCTTTCCCAACTCCTTCATTTCAAAATGACTTATCAGCTTTTCATTTGGAATTAGTATTTGTGTCTCATCATTTGTAGTGATCATATTGTCTACATACACTAGAAGGGTTAGTTTGCCATTGAGGGAATTTTTATGAAAAGAGTATGATCACTTTGACTCTTGTTTGTATCCCAAGGACATCATGGCTTGAGTTAATCTTCCAAACCTCACTCGGAAAGGTTGTTTGAGGCCATACAAAGTTTTTTTCAACCTACACACCTTGTTAGGGATGGCAAAAATGGGTTGTGACCCGCGGGCTTTTGGCGGGCCAGGCCCATGATTTCAACCCGCCAACTTGCCAAACCCGCCCTGCCAAACCCGCCAACCCGTTGGGCCAAATGGCGGGGTGGCTGTGGACTATCAAAAAATTTAGATTATTAGTAATTTGTAAGTTTATAATTTGGTTTTGATTTTGGTATAAGTGGACTACTTTCTATTTGATTTTATTCTAAGTTTGTAATTTGCTTTTGTTGAACATATATTATGTACAATATATATGCATTTTTATTTTTATATGGTTATATTTATTTATTTGTAACAATTTTTTATTTATTTGAACATAAAATATATTTTTTTCCATTTTTTTTGCAATTTTTTTGTGGTATGTGGGCTGGCCCGCCAGCCCGTCCTTAGGCGGACCGGTCCAGCCCAACCCGTTTTTGGCGGGCCGGGCCAAAACGGGCCAGGCTGGCCCGTTTTGCCACCTTTACACCTTGTGCTTTTTACCATGATACAAATCTTGGGAGAATCTCCATGTAGACTTCCTCCTCTAATCACCATGCAAGAAGGCTTTTTAACATCAAATTCTAGGGAGAGAAGGATCCTTATTGTATTCATATTTTCCTTGGGGAGAAATGTCTCCTCATAGTCAATGCCATAGGTTTGTTGTACTCTTTGGCCACCAATTTTGCCTTATATCGATCTAATGTCCCATCAGATTTACACTTCATTATGTATATGCTTCTACACCCTACAATTTTATCTTCTTTGGGCTTATCAATCTCCCAAGTTGATTTTCTCTCTATTGCTTCCATCTTTTCATTTAGCTCTAATCAAAGGTGTTTTGATTGCAATGATGACTGCAATAAAGCATCGGTGTTGGACTGAGAGATGGTCAATACAAACAAATTGAGAAATAAGCTACTTACAAGTGATCTTTACCCTTTCCTCAAGGCAATAGGAGTATTGTCCGTAACTTTCTTAATATCATTATCATCTTTTGGGGCATTTATCTGGTTCAAAAAATTCAATTTTTTGTGGGCGCAGAGTGGGTTTCATATGCCTTTCATATTTCTTCCCAAAGAACTCATCTTCCTCTTCTGTATCATTGTGATCTTCATATGCTTCTTCAAGATTAGTGTCTTGGACATCTTGCAAGAGCAAAAGAGTAAGACAGACTTGACTTCTAGAATGCTCTCCCCCTGAAGTTGAGGACTAAAAAAGGATACTATTTCATGAAATCAAAGGTGACATTCATTGATAAAAAAACTGACTACTCTAAGGATGATAACACTTTTGCCCCTTTTTATTGGTAGGTTAACAAATAAAGACACATTTGATAGCTCTTGGGTCTAACATATCATGATGGAGACAATGAGAATGAATAAATGCAACACACCCAAACACAAGACATAAGAGACTTCTTTGTTGGTGGTAATCTTGGAAATTTAAGGTTCCTTGGTCTAGTGGAGAAGCTAAATATTGAGTTATGACAATGGTCACTTGTGAATTCAGATGAAATAGTTACTTAGTGGTTTGAAGTTTGTGAATGTTGATCAAGTAAAGCTATATTGTGATAATCAGTCAGCTGTACACATCACATAAAACCCAATATTATATGCAAGGGTCAAACATAGATAAACTGATCCCTATTTCTTAGGGAGAAAGTTCTCTCCAAATCCAAGGAAATTGACTTTTTGTTAAATTCTAGCAATCAATTTGCAGATATCCTTGTGGTCTACTTTCTACTTGGGCTCCTCTAAGCCAGTTTGTGTAACAAATTTGGTGCATTTGATTTTTATCTGTTAAGATTGAGGGAGGAGGCTGGGGGGAGGTTCAATTATATGTCCTATCTAGAGGCTGTGCACTATCTGTACATATTATTGCATAATCAGGAGATATATTCCTAGTAGAATTAAGAAATATATTTCCTGTATAATTAGGACTTGAGTTGTATTGTTGTTTCTTAGTTTTCCACTTTTCCTTGGTTCCTTATGGTAGTTATTTCTTAATATATTAGAGATTGTAAACCCTTTATATATTTTGAATCAGGCTGAGGATTGTTCAGACATGTGCCCTATCTAGGGGCTGTACACTATATGTATATATTTCTGTATAATCAGGAGATATATATTCCTAGTAGAATTAAGAAATATATTCCCTGTATAATTAGGATTTGAGTTGTATTGTTGTTTTCTTAAGTTCTTTCACTTTTCCTTAGTTCCTTCCTGTAGTAATTTCCTAATATATTAGAGATTGTAAACCTCGTATATAATTTGAATCAGGTTGAGGATTTCCTTTAGCTATTCAGAAATCTTTTTGTCCATCTCTAGATTTGTTTGTCACTACCTTTTTGCTTAAATTCACATTTTTATTAGAAAAATGATAAAACTGTTTATTACTTGGTCTTTAGACACTTTTACTTTAGTACCATGTTAATTAACTATTCCAAAGCTCAAGTTGTTTGGTGAAGAATCATGAATAACTTTATATCTAATATATAATTTTTATATTGTTAAAAACTAATGTTACAATTGAAATTTTATTTATGGAAGATACTAATATCCTTTTTAAAATAGCATGGCTTTTATTAAAAAAAATTGTAGATTTTTCATTTATCATTGTGAATCAGGATGAAAGTAGTAAATTACTTTTATTAAGCAATGTTTTTCTTCTTATATTTGATGTCTGTGTTCTTTACATTTCAGGCTGCACATGTTCAGTCAGAACGGGCGAGTAACACCTGTCGCCAATTACTTAATGGCAACAACATTCAGTCATTAGCTGAGTCGAGTTCAAAGGAGATTCAAACTTCCATGACACCTTCAGGTTTTAATATTTCCGGTGAAAGGGAGCAATCGGCTCCTTTAATGTACACACCACAAGTGTCATTTTCTCAAAAATCTGGGCACATTGAAGAAGATCCACGGAAGTCTGCTGCTGCTGCGGTGGCAGCAAAATTGACTGCTTCAACATCCTCAGCGCAGATGCTGTCTTATGTGCTGTCCTCCTTAGCATCAGAAGGTGTATTAGGCAACCCAATGAAAGAGTCTTCGGCTGATTATCACACTGAGAAGAGGACCAAGCTCGAGAATGACCAATCATCTTTTATACCATCTCAGAATCCTCAACAACCACTTCCTCCCTTTTCACTTTCTGAGCCTATTCAACATAATGCACCTACAACCAACCAGCAATTGACTCCCAACGAACCTCCACCTCCACCCTCATCATCACCTCCCCCATTGCCGCCACCACCACCAATGTCACAGTATCCCGTGCCGCAGTTCATGCAAACTGCTGGATCCATTAGTAGCATGGCATACAGCTATGGCATGACACAACAGCCATCGATAGCGGCCTATCCAGGTGTTGGAGCTTCCCTGAATGGTGTCTCCACTTTTACTCCTCCACCGATGGGTACATATCAGGGTTTTCAGGGTTCAGATGGAAATTACTATAACCAGCCCTCATCAATGCCCATGGCACCAATATCTCGACAATAAATGTCCGGTTCTAGATAGATCTTCTCAAGATAAGGTTACTTAGAAAAAGTCTTCATACCTCCACCCATAAGCTGTTATTGGAATATGATTCTTCCTAAAGTCAGATGTGCACATAGTAAATGTTTTGTAACCTTTAGTTGATGGCTGGTACTAATTTGCTGGAGTTAAAATAATTTCGTTGTGTTACCCCGAGGTTAATGGTTTTGTACTTTTATTCAGTAGGATTTTTTTTTAATCTTTCTGTTATTGTAAAACTTAGATTATTATTGCCTTGTGGCTTATTAGATGTGTGGTTTTTTAGGGTTGTAGGCATGTTATTACTGGGGAATCAGTTATTTGTAATTCAACATCAGTCAAAACCGGTCTGCGTATCTCCCAAAAATCTGCATCCTCTCTGCTGATGGGATGTAATATTATATCAGACCATGTGTTTGTATTTTATGAATTCTTATGTTGTGCTGTGTCTGGTTAACTCTGAATATAGTTTTTATTTATAATATACATGGCAAGATTTGTTAAAAATATTTTTAATTAAGAAAGTTTCATGTAAATTGGTATGGTTACGATATGATTTTATATTATTACACTTAGGTCATGAGGACAAATTTTGACTATGTAGACGAGGGAATAAAATGTATATGGATAATTTGTGAATCTGAATTGATTCAAATTGATTCAATCAAAGGCTAGTTTAGTGGTTGAGTGGGGAAGGATTGAGGTAGTTAAAAATATAGAAATCTAGGTTCAATTCTCATTGTGACTATCTTTGTAATTTTTTTTTATTTTTACAAAAAAAAATTCAAATCAGATTTTTTTTAATGTTTGGGTCATGCTTAATTGATGTAGCAACTATTTTTGTTTTTTAACTCATGATTTAATAATAATTAGTTAGTGCTATGAAATAATGTAACTTTTATTCAATCATGGGAAGTGTATTAAGGTTGATAGCGTTGAAATAATTTAATATATTTATTTTAAATTTTATTTTATATTAATGTTGATTATTTGAGTTTATAACAATATAATAAAATAACAAGTTTATTTTAGAATTTAGTTTGTATTATTATTTATTTTATCAGTTGATGATATTGTAACAAGATATCAAATGATTTATAATTATTATAAAATATTTAAATTTTTATAAAATTAAATAATTTTAATTATCTTGATCCGATTAATTCAATTCAATTCAACTTATTTGTGATTGGGTTAAATTTAAAAAAAATATATAAATTCAATCTAATTAGGGTAATGTGTAATTATATTAGTTTATTTTTTGGTTAATAAACTTTAATCGAAGCTCTTGTTTTTTTTTCTCATGCGAAGGAAGTTGTTTCTTTCAATAAATAAGTTTGAATTTTTTTACATTTTTTTTCTATAATATTTTAATTTTGAATTTTCAGTTATTTATATTTATTTTAGTTGTAATAAGTTTTATTCAAATGGACAAATGATCTTATAGTTTAACATTAATATTCTCCAAAAAACAAAATTTTAATAGCATAAAATTGAAAAGATGAAAATTTAAATGAATAAAAATATATGAATTAAATTATTTTAATCTTTAAATTATATTTTTTTTATAAGATTCAATTATTTAATTTTTTAGGATTTAAGAAATTAGTTAATTTAGTTGATAATATTAAATTTGCTCTAAATTTAAATAGTTAAAAAATTAATCAATATTAATGAGACTTATTTTGCTGATTATTTGTTTGCGTCGGGCGAGGTTAGGAATGGAAGTCCCTGGATGGCTCACGCCGGGCGTGGGAGAACCGCGTTGAGCGTGATATCAGATAGAGATTCAAGACCTATGTGTATACAAAATTCAGCAAAATAGCTACATTAAGTAGCCATAAACAACTAAACATCAGCTCCATTTGCCAGCTACAGTCCTACTACTATACTCCAGCCTATCTTTGCTTTGCTCCCATACACAGTATAATCATTGCAGTCCAACCCACATGGAAACAGGCAAGGGTAAGCTAGTGAAAAGAATCAGCATATATAGAAATTATAAACAGCTTCAACTTAACAGCACATCATCAATTTCAACAAAGTTAACATACAACACATAACAACACACATCTACATCTCAGCTTCACATCACACTGCACACATACAGCTCATATCATTCAACAAAATCAACATCTAACAGCTTATGTCACGCATTTCAACTAGGAGATCTTCTCTAGTCTTAGTGATCAACAGCTCAACCTTACGGCCTACACAGCTCAGCCTTACGGCCTACACAACTCATATTCAACAACACAGCTCAACCATTTTAAATAGCATATTCAACACTCAGCACAACTCAACTTAACAACATTAACAGATTAGAAAGCATACAACACAGCTCAACATAACAACATTCATCAACATAAGCATCATACAGCATAAACATCATACATCACAGCTCAACTTTACATCAATACAACATTAACAACATTAATCAGCATAGTTATAACAAAAACACATTTGCGCCCGACGCAATAGGATTTGCGCCTGACCTGGACCAACCAGAGAACTCCAAAGCTCTTACGCACCCGGTGCAATTCCAACTGTGCCCGACGCAATAGAAGGCAGAGACTCTCAGGAGTCTCACAAGCCCGGCGTACCAAACCAGTGCTCGGCACAAGTAAGGCAGAGACCTTCCCAAGGTCTCACGCCCGATGCAATTCCAATTGTGCCTGGCGCCACCCCTAGCAGAGACTCCCAGGGAGTCTCAACACCCGACGAGATCTAATCACGCCCGACGCCACACCAGTAACCCAACTTCTTTAATCCCTGTCTGATATCACGCCCAGCGCGGTTCTCCCACGCCCGGCGTGAGTCATCCAGGGACTTCCATTCCCAAGCTCGCCCGGCGCAAACAACCTTGCGCCTGGCGTGCTTGACCAATGAAACTCTCTGATGGTTACACGCCCGACGCCAATAACTACGCTTGGCGCAATTACGAACAACAACCCTCAAACTTTGAAAATTTCACCTAAAACCTACAAAATCAACCAGTTCAAGCACATGCAATCCATCAAATAAACCACATTTTCAGCAAATAACTAAAAAATCATCACTTTTTCAACATGCAACCATTAAACACTCAAAAATCCCCATTTTCACCATTTTTCCCGAAACCCCGAAAATGCAATTTTCTTCAAATCAGACCATCATTCCCCAAGCATCCTTTGAGTTTCTAAGCTCATTTCACACAATCCGCAAGAAATCTAGCATCCCTTACCTCGGAGGAGAAGAAAAAGAGAAAGCTCCGGCTCTCAGCTAGCTCCACAAGAAATGGACCACCTTTGCTCACTGCCTCAGCCTAAGAGAAAGGGAATCAGAAACAAGGATTTAGGGGCTATCAGAGAATAAGGAAATGAGAGTGAATGGGGAAGGGAGAATGAGAAAGGAGAGAGTGTTGTGCTGCGGGTCTCACAACCTCCCCAACAACAAAAATTTCCGTTCCCAAAAATAGACTTACTTGGGAATAAGGAAGGATATTGCTCTCTGCACTTCTGCTCAACTTCTCAAGTAGTCTCACCAGTAGCTGTATCCACAAAAAATAATTAATACAAAACATTTTATATTAATTTTTATAGAAAAGACTAATCAACACTTCTTATTTAAGACTTATAAAAAGAATCAGAAGAAATAGTTTATAAATGCTATGTTGTAGTTTTTGCTGTTGAGATAAAATAGTTATTATTTTCGTCCATATTTCCGCATCAATTTGCAATGGAGTTTATAATTATATTTGAAGGATTTTCTTTCTTTATGGAGTACAAGAGTGTGCAGCAAGCAATAGTTTAACCTTACTCAATCATAGTTAAACAAATAATAATTAAATAATATTTTTATAAATTAAATATAAAGTATTAAATAAAAATGCCACAATATTCATAATTTTATAATACTAAAATTAAAAATTATCATATTCATAATAAATAATATATAAGTTACAAAATCTTAATTTAATCGATAAAGATATAATGTTTCAACGGTGGTAGAACACGTAATATCAAAACATTGTTAAAAGTTATACAACATGATGGAGTAGGGAGGTTCAAGATAAGAGTTTTGTTGGATAATAGTTTGGAATAAGGTGATATTTCTTGGATTATTTTTCAAAATTTAAAATAATTTAAATAAAAAATAATTAGAAAAGAAAGTTACAAATGTATTAAGATTTACCTTTCCATATTTGCAGAAGAATATCACTTTCTCACACCTTTAACATGAGAATAAAATGATAAGAAACATGATATGAAGATATCCTTATAAATATATAATAGTCAAAAATAATATTTCAAAACTTGTAACAAACACGATAATATTACATTCCAATCTTTATATTTTCAAGATTCAAATTTTAGTTCATAAAATAAATGTCTCTTATAGATTTAATGAAAAGTCAGAGGATGATATATTGTATCTTTTTGCTGAAATCAATATATGAAATTCATTCCCAAATCATTATCTCAGTGTCCTGAATATCTTCTCTCTTGTCTTTATTCGTTTTATGGTATAAGAGATCCCTCTTGGAGCTTTGCCTGTTATCCTCCCATGTCTTCAACACCTCCCTCCAGTCCAAAGAAAGACAATTCTTCTGGTTTTTGTTCCAATGATCCATCGCTCAACCTTTCAAGTCCTTATTTCATCCATTCTAGTGATGGTCCTTCCTCTGTGTCTATTACTTCTGTCCTTGACGGAACCAACTACCAGTCCTGGTCTCGTACTTTCCATATGGCCTTTATCTCCAAAAAACAAAAATGGCATTCCTCCTTTGGCACAATCCCAGCCCCTTCAGTTAAAGAACCTCTTTATTCTGCTTGGGAGAGATGCAACACTCTCATCATGTCAGCAAAGCTTCAATTCATGGAGAAAAATATTTTTTGACCATTGTAGATGATTTTAGTAGATATACTTGGGTAGTGTTACTAAATTCAAAATCTAAAGTGAAAATGCATGTCCAAAATTTTATTGCTTTAATAGAAAATCAATTTGATTCCAAAATAAAGTGCATTCGTTCAGATAATGGACCTGAAGTTTTTCTTAAAGATTTATTTGCCACAAAGGGTATCATTCATCACACTAATTGTGTTTACACCCCTCAACAAAATAGGTGTGTAGAAAGAAAACATCAACACATTCTTAACGTTACACGTGCCCTTATGTTCCAATCTCAATTACTTGAATATTTTTGGTCTTATGCCATAAAACATTTAGTCTTCCTTATTAACAGAATACATTAACAGAATACCTTCTCTAGTCACTAATATACAAACACCTTATGAGCTTTTGCATAATCATAAACCAGATTTTTCAATGCTTAAGGTTTTTGGGTCTATATGTTATTCTTCAACCAATGGACCTCATCAAAAATTTGATCCTAGATCTAGACAAGGTGTTTTCTTGGATTTCCAACTGGATCAAAAGGGTATGTCATTTTAGATTTCCAATCAAGAGAAATTTTTGTCTTAAGAAATGTCATATTTTATGAAT